TATATTTTATGATCTTTGTTGTACTTGTTTTGTTGTTGAATATTAACCATTTTTGTAAAACACACAAATCTCAAAAAATTTGTCCGAACTAATTTTCTTATCGAACAAACGAAACGTATTTTTCTCGTGTTTTTTCTGAATATGATGATGTAAATCACAATGATGATGATGATGATGATGATGATGGGTTTTTGATGATGATGTGCGCTCTCAACATGATGATGATGATGATAATGGATGATAACGGATGATAATGGATGATAATGGATTTGGATTGGATTTGGTTGGTCTCCGTGGACGCTTGCAATGGATGCTGTCTCTGTGGTGCCAACGCTGGATCCTTGTGGATTGTATTGATTGGCCCGGCCTCGTGGACGACGACGACTATCTGTGGACTATGCTGGACAATCGGATCGCCTATATAAATATATATATCTATTTTTGTTTCTTTTTTCTCTTTCTTTTTTTGTTTCTTTTTCTCTCTTTCAAATTACATACTGTTTGCCACACACGCACACACAACGCACTATCTGTGTACGCGTCTGTATCTGCCACCCACCGAACTGCCACTGCCACTGCCACTGCAACGACAACCTCGCCCCGCCTTGCAACAACCCACTACCAAATTCGCTATCAAATGCTCGCCCCGCCGTCGTTTCGCTACCTTTCAACGGATCAACGAATGTACCACCCATCAATGCAATCCAATCGCTGCCACAACCAACCACCAACCACCTGCAACAACTACAACAACAACAACAACTACGTCCCCACGTCGTCGTCGTCGATTGCTCCTCCGCTCCTCGAATGCTCCCCGAATGCTCGCTCGCTTGCCCAAACAGACAGCCAAGCCCGTCATCCAAGATGATGCTGATGGTCACTTAATTTACCACACCGGAGACATTCTCCACCACAGATGTTCGTGACAATTTTTTGTTTTTAATTTTCCTTCCATATTTATGTTTAGAAAAGAACCACAAAAAAAAAAAGAAGAAAAACACTCAACTCAAAGTCAAAGCCAAGCAAAAAACAAAAGAAAAAATAACAAGAGAAAGGCAAAACAAAGGCTTCTACTCCAACTCTCTTCTCTACTCGTAACTCTCTTATTAATTCAAACTCTTTCCAAGTTTTCTTTATTATTTGTTAATTATCCGCACACACACACACACACACAAACACACCAGAAAGGTCGAAAGTCGCGTCGCGCCGCGCCGCGTCTCATCCAAAATTTTCACACAATTTTCGACAGTTACTTCCTTTCAAGCAATTTGTCTTTGAATTAAATTTTTGCCTCGAACTTAATTTTCCCCGTCCCCATTTGGGAAAACTTTCGCTCGCGCGCCGCACAATCTCAAACAATAATAATTAACGAAATAATATTGAAAATGAAAAATGAAAACTCAAACTCATTTGCGCACACTTTTTGCCTAGAGTCCTCCGATTCGGTTATTGGGTGTAGACCAGACCTCATCGTATTTAGTTGCTATTCAAGTGTTACTACAGGTCTAGCTTTAGAACAGACAGTACTAACTAACGTTTAACACCAACCACTCTCGATGCAATTGGCTGAGACACTACTACAAAACTGCCTTCCTTTTGCCAAATTTCAGATAAGATCATGGCCACACTCGGCGAGGGCACATTCGGACGTGTGGTCAAAGTAAAAGACATGGAGCGGTAAGTACTCGAATCTAGGCCTCTAGCCCTGTAACTAATGCCCTTCTCCCTTTTCAGTGATTACTGCATGGCCTTAAAGATTATCAAGAATGTGGAAAAGTATCGCGAAGCTGCCAAGCTGGAGATCAACGCCTTGGAGAAGATTGCACAAAAGGATCCGCATTGTGATCAGTGAGTCTGCCATTTCCCACATCCCTAATCAATCCTCTACAACTACATTTCCCTCTATCTCCCACACTATCTCTACAGCTTGTGCGTGAAAATGGTTGACTGGTTTGATTACCATGGACATATGTGCATAGTTTTTGAGATGTTGGGTCTAAGTGTTTTCGATTTTTTGGTAAGTCAATTAGAGATTGAGTCATTTTGGTTGTCATTATCTGAATTTTCCATTTTCTATTATTTTTAGCGAGAGAACAACTATGAGCCATACCCGCTGGACCAAGTGCGCCACATGGCCTATCAATTATGCTATTCTGTGAAATTTTTACATGACAATCGTTTAACGCACACAGATCTCAAGCCGGAGAACATATTGTTTGTCGACTCGGATTACTCGGCTCACTATAACCATAAGATTGTAAGTGAAGATTGTAAGCACTTGCGTTTCAATCATAGATTATAACGCACGCGACTTTATCTAGCAGAACCGGGAGGTTCGACGTGTCAAGAACACGGACGTTCGTCTGATTGACTTCGGTTCGGCCACCTTCGATCATGAGCACCACAGCACAATTGTCTCGACGCGACACTATCGCGCGCCCGAAGTCATACTGGAGCTGGGCTGGTCACAGCCATGCGATGTCTGGTCCATTGGGTAAGGAGGGGATTGAAACCTTGTACCATTTGCATACTCTCATACCATTTATTCTTGACAGCTGCATCTTGTTTGAGCTATATCTGGGAATCACACTCTTCCAAACGCACGACAATCGCGAGCATCTGGCCATGATGGAGCGCATCTTGGGACAAATACCATATCGCATGGCACGGTAATACAATGCAGCTCATGCTTTCATATTCTAAAGCGCAGTACCCTTCACCGAAATCGTCTAATGTGTAGCAACCATACTCTTTATAGCAAAACCAAAACAAAGTACTTCTACCACGGTAAGTTGGATTGGGATGAGAAGTCCAGTGCGGGACGCTACGTGCGCGACCACTGCAAGCCGTTGTTCCTGTGCCAACTGAGCGACAGCGAGGACCACTGCGAGCTGTTTGGCTTGATCAAGAAGATGCTGGAGTATGAGCCATCATCCCGCATCACGTTAGGTGAGATAGAGACCTACATCTAGACTATCTATTTTGATTTTGTGCTAACCGAAACCCTTCATCCAATTCTGCAGGTGAGGCCCTACGCCATCCCTTCTTTGACCGGCTGCCACCGCACCAGCGGGTTGGTGAAATGAGCAGCAAGCAGCCCCTCTCGTCGGGCAGCAGCAGCCGCGAGCGATCGCACAGTCTGTCCAGATGAGAATTACAGCGATTTGGTTATTGTTGACAGGCAACGTTAATCAAGCGTCCAATCATGCAAACTTACACAAAAGCAACAACACAACGCGACAACAGACGTCCAGGGACGGGTACGTCCTGGAGCAGCAGAATCGGAGAGCAAGCGCAGCGACCACAACGGCGAACCCTATTTTAAGTGCTAAAAGTCTTTTACTTTTTAGTTTTGTTAACTTGACTTGTATAGAGATGTTTCTTATACAAAAATCCTACATTGTTTTCTCATATACATACATACTATACCATTTTACCATGCGCATGTTGCTGCGCATCATTCAGAGCTGTGTAGCGCCACGATTGCGCCTGTGCATTGTATCATACCCGCCTATAGTGTTTGTTTTGTAATAATAACCAAATCGTGTATAATATTGATAGTGCGGTGCGTCTCCCCACAAACCCCGACACCGACACTGATTGAATGAACCAACCAACCTAATTGTAAATGTCATTGAAATGTGAGCACCTCGAGATGGATGCAAAAAACCGACTGCAATGATGAAACGAAGATACAATTGTAAATGTAAAAAAGTAAGAAGTCAGTCGCTAATTGAAATCGCGCTAGTTGAAATGCATATGCATATGCAACCCCATCAGCAGCACCCACCCTGTCATTGCAATGGGATCTCGACTAAGTTGTAATTAATTAATACAAAATGTACACCATTTACCATTTCGAGAGCGTGATCTGTAAGCTAATGCAAGCCATTATATCACTCGTACCCCACTCGTAACCACACTCCACTCATGTACCGATGTACATATGTAAGTGTAAAGAGCAATTGTTATGCCGCCCCGCCCCGCCCCGCATGCATCTATAGCGTTTTGCGTTCGCAGCGCATTTTGTGTAAATTCGGTAGCAGCCCAGAGTCATTTCTCTTAGATTACGAGATGTTTTCAGATGTGTAGAATTATCGCGCCAATCCGTTTTGTTCGTTTTCGTTCTATTGTCGAATATCGAAAACTCAACACACATTTATCCATTACATGCTATAATACCGTATGGACCCTAGAGAAAGTATATGTATACCCATATACTAAACATACTTAATTCAAATGATTGTGAGTTAGTTTAATATTACATAAATATTAATTATAAATTACATTATTTGCAATTTAACCAGATCACCAGCCTATAAGATATAAAAAAACCAATATTGTCAAGTTACTGCAAATTGAAATAAATCTTTAAAAAACAATTTATTATTTTATTTATTCACTGACAGACCTTTTAGCGGGTTTAAAACAAAAACCAAATGAACAAAAATTAAAAAAATTATGAGGTACAAAATATGCGCTTTTCGTCGAGAACCTACTTTTCCAGTATCGTAAGGGTCCAGACTGTCGATCAGCATCAAAATCTAGAGTTGATTGGGACCTTATCTGCTTGTGCCAAAAATTGGTAATAAAGAAGATACCTCACAGATGTCTATAGTACTCGCACACATAATAATAAATATACAATAAATATACACAAGCTTCTAGAGAAGGCTCTCCATAGTGTTTGGAGGAGTTTGCTTTGCCAAAAAAAGGATCGGCACGCCTCTGCAACTGCTATTGTGTAGGTGACATCCCTAGCAAGCCAAACACTGCACTTTCTGCTTTGGTTCTCTTGTTGTTTCACAATGCAGTTCACTTTCTGTGGAGTAGTGGAGCGGCAACTCTACTCCCGCTTTTTCTCCTTTATTTCGGTGTATGCACGGGGTTTCTAGTTTTGTAGAGCAGACATAAAACACAAGTTGAAGAAACCCCCGAACGACTTAAAGACAATGATTGTCCATGAAATGGAATGAATAGTTTTATAGTAATTGGTTACATTTTATTATTAAAATATGTGAAGCCAACTGAAATTCTCGAACGCCTAGAAGATTGGGACATTGAGTTGCCGCAGCAAAAAGATCAAGCACTTAAGTAACGGACCCGACTTGCGCATTTTGGCCTGGTAGCGACCTTCCTCCGTGCTGAACCCCCAGACTTCTTCCTTGTAAAACCACAAGACAATACTGATCAGGAGCAGCACCACGAGACATGTGAAAAGACATGAGTTCACGCTGAACACCTGTGAAACTACGTCACAAAATTCCTGGACGAGAGTTTCCACAAAGGCAAGAAGATCGTTTGGTGCGACCTCAGGTAAATTTTCGGGATTTCTTTTAGAAGCATCACACGGAACCACTGCTGGCTGTGGCTGATCATCAACTGAGAAACGGATCATAGATTGAAGGGCTGACTGGATTGCCTCCAGCCGCTCATCTAGACGCTGGATAATGTCGCGTGATTTTTTAACATTATCAGGGCGAGCTGCTTTTCTGCGTTTCTGTGCCGTGTTTATCATTATATTCGCTTTCGTCTTCGTCACTATCTTCTGCACCATTTTGTTCGCCTTCGTTCTGCTATGCTCCTTTATGTGTGGGAGGTTGTCGGTGGCCTTCAGCTGAGAGTCGCCGATAAGCCATGGGGAGCTTATGTGGCAGAAGTCCTTGGCCGTCTTTGACGACGACGGCTGAGGATCCAACAAAGTATCATCCATTTGAAACTCGACCTTTTCCCTACAGACCGATGGCTTTTTTGAACATGCTATAGGTTCTAGCTCGTTGTCTTCGATAATAGGCTCGACCACGTTTCCGTAGATCGATGGCTCTACAGAGGTAACTTTTCGTTCCAACATGTAATGATCGTTCTGGGCCCCTAACTTTTCACTAATGACCGATGACTGCAAGGATGCCGACGTGCTGTATGAAGTGTCGCTGCTTGATTCTGAAGATGATGATTTGAATTGCATCCGTGTCGGAGGCTTCGAGAGTTTCAGTTTTTCATCATTTGTCATCAGCCTGAAAGCAGAGGAAAGAGGTTTAGGATCTAATAAGGTGCCCATGGAAGTCACACTTACATCCGGTTAGGGGAAAAATGCGTTTTCGGCATAATTGCTGATTTTTATTTTTTTGGAACAAAATGTATAATAATTGTGTGTAACGATGACGAAAGCCTTTACTGGAGTGCCTGAGCCTGCTGGGGCAGGAATATGCCTCACAAACCAAAAACTTTCCATATACAGATAACCTGATATGAGGAATAGGTAGAATGTCTGAACGAACACAATATGCAGGTGCCTCGCTGATGCCTCCTTATGTTGCCAATGGATTGACAGGACTAATCCGATCACGAAAAATTCTTGATATTATCCCAATTCCAATAATTAACCATTAACCATCTATTGTTTTCCATTTATTAATTTATTTGTTTTTGTGGTTCCGCTAAGTGTGAATTCGTTTCTTGCATTTTGTTGTACAATTATAATTTTACAATAGTTTCAACTAAATAAATAATAACAATTTATAAATATAATTTCTCTTTATTTGCTTCTTTTCGCGATTTTCTCAGTGTGTGTGTGTGTTTGCATTCGCATACGGTACGACATAAATAATTTGTTGGTTTGTTGAGTTAACCGGGCACAAATATAGCTGCTTTTGATTCTTTCGTTATTTGTTTTTGTATGGATTTGTTCAGTAAAGCCAAAGTACATATTTAATCGAGTAATTGATGGTTATCCAGTGCTGAACTTAGTGGCTAAAGTTCGTCTTAGGCTACCTATTTATAAAAATAATGGTTAGATCTACAAATTGCAACGAAAACAAGAACCTATAAGAACCTAAATCTATACGCAATAAATAAATACTTAACATGTACATCTGTTAGGGTTAGGGTTAGGGATATCTATATATATATATATATAGTTAAATATATATAATATGTGTATATACAAAACAACTTAAATTCTGCGCCGCAGCGCTGTCTAAGAAGCAACAAAACCTGTCGCTCACTTATGGTTAGAACCATCTTTTGTAATTCGATTTCGATTAACATTTTCTGGATGCATTATTGTCTATTTCAAATGTGTGGCAGCGCCGCCCGGCGACGCAACTAAACAGGGAGTCGTGTGGGTCTGTTAAACAAGAGAAAACAACCAACTCCAAAGCGACACTCTGTCTCTGAGCTGAGCCAGAGGAAGACATCTAACTAAACTGATTTTCTACTCGTACATAGTTACACATTCATATGCTGTAGGTATTTATATACTAAGTTTGTGGCCTGGCCCCTACTTGTGCCCAATGACGAGCGTGTAGTTCGCTGTGCTTACTGTCGACGACAACGCCGACAACGCAGGTCATTTGGCCAGCTTCAGGATCTCCGTCCTGCCCCCAGGCGCAAGTTCTGATCCTCCACTGGCAGTCACTGCCGTGACTGTTGCCCCTGCTGTTCCCATGCCCACTGAAGCGGATGGTGGAGCGGGCGCAATGCGTATGGGCTTGGCTCGCTGCTGCTGCTGTTGCTGCTGCTGATTGAAGAGGCCACTCAGCGTGGCCGCCGTGCTGGCGGTCAGCACCATGCTGTTGGCTCCACTTGTGCTGGCCTGCTGGCGCTTGCTCCGCGCCAGTCCATTTATTTTGTTGTTCGTTGAAGAGGGCTGTGGCGGCGATGGCTGAATTACTGCGGCTGCTGCTGATGCTGCCGATGCTGCTGGTCCTGCTGCCGGAGGAGAAGCAGCGGATGAAGATGAGGATGCTGCTGCCGCTGTGGCTACAGATGTGGGTGTCGAGGAGGCTGAAATATTATCCAACTCAGTCATTGCTTCTTGTATAGCCCGCTCGAGTTGCGAGTTCAGTTTGCGGCTCCTTTGTGGTTTGATGATGGTCGGGGAGTGGAGTGTTTTGTGTGTGTGTATGTGTGGTTTTGGAGTTCGGGTTTTGGGTTGGTTTTATTTTATTTTATTATTTTGCGAGTGTCGAGTGGTGATGATGATGTTCATGTTGATGGTTATGCATATAGACACACACACGCATGGAGCACAGAGAGTTATACACGTTGGGGTTGGCAGGGCAGGATATAATTTTGGTTCAGGTTCAGCGCATATCAAAAAAAGAAACGAGAAGATTAATTAGCAAATTAAAAATCGAATACAAAGAGTAAATCAAAGTTAAATCAATTAAATTTGCTAACAATAACAAAATTCTATCTACTTATTCAAATTGTAATCAATTCTCAATTAAAACAACTACAAAAGTATCTGCAAAATGGATAAAAATTGCTAGAAAACAAAATTTAAAATGGCGAATGGCAAAATAAAACTCTTACGATAAATCTATAAAGAAAAGTACATTCATATAAAGGAAATATATATCGAAAATATACGTATATTCATTCTACGTCTAATAATGTTCTAGTCTACGGTGCTGGTCCTCTGGTGTTCGCTAGATCTTCTCCCCCTTCTCTTCCTGAATCTCATCTGAATCTGAATTGTGTTCCCCACTCTTCAACCGGATGGATGCTCACTTTCTGGTGTCCTTCTGGGCCTTGTGATGCGCCTCTAGACCCTCGGAGAGGCTTTGCAACGAGTTGACCGGAATCAGCTCGGAGGTGGAGCGGCCGCCGCCGCCGAACCACTGCACCCACACGTGGTCGAACTGCTGCGAGGGCGTGCACACGCCGTCGGGCATCTTGACGATTTTCCCGGGCCAGGCGGGATGGCCCCGTGCCGGACCCCAAATCAGTTCCCCAATTGCAAACGATCGAGGCGGCATTAACGGAGTGGCAGTGGTTGTGTGGCATGTGCCACGGCCAGAGCCGCGCTGTGGGCGACGCGATCGTTTCGTTGGTGTGGTCTTGGTCTTGGCCTCCGGCATCGTGGTGGATGATGTGGCGCCTGGTGATGCGGCTGCTGCTGTTGCTGCTGTTGCTGCGGCCGCTGACAGGGGCTGCGTTGTGCTGGGCGACTCTACGGAAGGCACACAGAGGCACATAGAGACTTGGACATGGGACATGGGTGGACATGGAAGAGGCGATACCAGCACCACGGATTACAAGCAGGCAGAGCGAGAATTACAAGCGGTACAAGGCTGGTCATGCAGTGGTCATTGCGCTGAGTCGCGTCATCGCAGTGTGGATGGTTAGTGTGTTGTGGTGGATGCAGTTAGTGCTGGACATTAGAGGTGCGCTTACGGCGGTTACGGCCTTACCCTGGTAATCAATGTTAACTACTTTGTGATTATGGAGGAAGGTGGTGTTGCTGTTGTTGTTATGGTGGCTGTTGTTGTTGTTGTGCTGCCCGACTGGCGGCTGTCGGAGGTGCATGAGCGGGCGATGGCCCTGGCTTTGACCCCCCGCCACATGAGTGGCTCCAGCGGACGACGAAGACGACGATGACGATGTGATGGACATGGACATGGGCATGGAGGCAGATGTGGTGTTTGAACGAGAGCTGGAGTTGGCCAGTCGCATACCTTGGCCCATCAGGCTCATCCCGTTCTCGAGCGCCGCCTGCGATGTGATGTGTATCCGTCGAATCTTCGGTTCCGAATGCTTGTACATCCCACTCGGCTGCGTGAAGAGATTGCTGCTGCTGCTGCTGTTGCCGAAGCCTGAAAGGAAGTCTGATTAGAGAATGGCTGCCACATGCCACATGCCGCATGGATGATCAGCAGTACTCACTCCGCTCACAGTCTGTGGAAGATGGCGACTGCCGACTCTCGACACTCTGCGGCGAGACGGCGGCATCCGGTTCCGAGCTGGAGACGCATTGCACCTGCCACGAAAGGATGGTTAAATAATGAGTCAAAAGGGGATCGTCAGGAGCCACAAACCATATCACTGCCAGTGCTCCGATGGCTGGGAGGTCGCTCCGGGCTCCGTGGACTGCATGTGGTGGTGTCCGGCGGACTGGCCGCCGTTCCCTGGCGACCCATCGAGGAGTCCGTCGTCAGATAGGTGGTGCCCTGGGCCTGCTGCAGACTGATCTGCTGTGCCTGCTGCTGCTGCTGCTGCTGCTGTTGCTGTGATGGCTGCTGCTGCTGCTGGATCTGGATGGTCGTCGTCGTGGGACTCGCCTGCACGAAGGTGGAGCCGCCACCCTGCTGGCCCGTCGGCATCACCAGGCCCATGGGCGTGGAGTAGATCTGTCCAATGGGACTCAGCTGCCCGTTGGCCCCCACAATGTACTGCTGGCCGCCGCCGCCGGGCGAGATGAAGGAGGGCTTGCTCTGGGGCGACGGAGTGCGCAGCATCACGGGCCCCTGGGGCGTCATCAGGCTGGTTGTGGGCATGTTCTGGATCTGCAGCAGGGTGGCGTCTGGGGCCATCACCAGGCCCGCGGGCATCAGCAGCTGCTGCCCGATGAGGTTCACCTGCTGCAGGATCTGGCCGTTCTGCAGCAGCAGCTGCTGCGTCTGTTGCGGAGCCGCGGCATTGGCCTTGTTCACCACGATGCCCTGGATGCCGGGACTCAGCTGGAACTGCTGCTGGAACTGTGGTGCAGCAGCTGCTGCTGCCGCCGCCGCCGCCTGCTGATGGAGCAGGGCGGGCGCCTGGCTGGGGATGCTGGGCGAGATCTGGGGGGAGTGCGTCTTGGCGGGGGATCCACCACTCGCCGGTGGCGGCGTGTGGCACACGGAACTCTTGCGCTTGCGCGGCCTCCGTTTGGCCTCCGGCGAGGTGATGATCAGCGTCTGGCCCTGCGACGGCAGCGCACCTGGATGAGGCATGGTCAGCACCTGCTCCACGTGCTGCTGCTGCTGCTGCTGCTGTTGTTGTTGATGTGGATGATGATGATGGTGATGATGCTGCTGCTGCTGATGGACAATGTAGCCGCCGTTGGCAAGCGTGTTGAGCAGCACTGTCTGGCCACCGGCTGCTCCGCCTGCGCCTCCTCCTGCCCCCTGTCCCGCCTGCGAGGTGATGATCTGGTGGTGCAACAGCTTGCCCCCGGAGTTGAGTATCACCGTGTTGCTGCTGCCGCTGCTCGAGGTGGCTGCTCCCACCGGCGAGGGCTGGCTCACAATGTAGCCGCCTCCCGGCTGCGGGTGCAGCTCCTGGTGCTGCTGCTGGATGATGCCCGCGCGATGGTGATGCTGCTGCAGATGCGGATTCCCCTGCTTGCTGTGCTGCGGCCCTGGGATGACCAGCAGCTGGCCGGAGGAGGTCATTATCAGCTGACCCCCGCCATTCGTGGCGCCGGCCATTTGGCCGGCCATCGCCTGGAGCTGCGCCATTCCGGCCTGGGAGCTGCTCAGCGTGGTGATCGGTCGCCCCGTGATCCCAGTGCCCGCCGTGGTGGTCACAATGCTGCGTGTCATCGTGGCCACTGCATTGCTGCTGGCCACAGTCAGCCTCTGTCCGGCGAGGGACTGGTTCTGCTGCTGGCGCATCACACGCAACTGGGGAGCGGCAGCGGTAACCTGTCCCTGCGCCTGGGTACGCATCTGCAGGATCTGCGGGGGCTGCTGATGATGCTGGTGTTGCGGCTTTGGTGATGGCGAGGGCGTGCTCTTGCCCGAATCCAGCAGCGAATCCGTGGGCGAGGACAAGCTCTGCCTGGGACTCTCGTGGCTGGTGGAGATGGCTCCCACTTGCTCGGGCCGCTTCTCCACAGCGTCCTGCAGCACTGCCGCACTGCTCGAGACGGGCGACTCCTGGGGCGGTGGCACCACCGTGACGCTGGTAATCTGTGGCTTCTGTGGCCGCGCAAAGGCCTGCGTGTCCACCTGCAGAGTGCGCTGTCCGGGACTCCCATTGGAGGAGGCATTGGCATTCGTTCCCACTGATTCCGCTTCCCACTTGCCGCCAAAGACCGACAGCCGTCGTATCCTCTGGCGCTGCATCTGCAGTTGCTGAAGCTGCTGCTGCTGCTGCTGCTGGGAACTGTGCACAATGGGCTCCTGGGGCAGGGCTCTGGCCGACACCGTCACGGTCTTGGCCCCCGTGTCTAGGCCCCCGCCCAGCGTATTGTGCAGCAGGACGGTCTGTTGCTGCAGGTATCCGGCGGGGTCGTCCTTGAAGTTGGGCTGCTGCTGCTGTTGCAGCAGTTGCGCTGCAGCGGGTGGAGGCAGCGTCACGGGTAGAGGCAGGGAAGAAGGTGCTGTTGCTGCTGCTGCTGGCGGCTGCTTTATCACATGTCCTCCGGCTGAGCGCTTCGGGACTCCAACTCCAGCTGCAGTTCCAGTTGCAGATCCTCCTATTGCTATTCCTATTCCGGCTAATGCTTGACTAGTTTGCATTACAGTCGTGGGCGTGGGCGTGGGCGTGGTCGTGCCCGTTCCATAGGCATGGCTCCGTGGGGGTAATTTGTTATTGCCGTATTTGTGGCAATCAGCTTCTGGAAATGGAGCAACAAATTGAAAAGGCAAAGTCAGTGAAAGGTCAAGACATCATCCTTTTTGGTTATGCAAAGCGCGTCGCGTCCTTAAAGTGCCCGCAACGTGTCCCCTGCGTGGGCCACAAACAACCACCCACCCAACCACCCACCCACACGGCACCTCTCCTCTAAAGGTCGTGCAACTACAGAGGCGCCCAAAGCACAAGGAGGCCACGGGGGAGTGGGGCTGTGGGGCAGAAGAACGACCCGAATAAAATCAAAACACACAAAAACGTGCTGCTGCGAGAGTCAGACGAAAGTAAAGGGGTTGCGGGCTGAGGGGGGTGGGGGCCCCTCGTGGGGCAGCTCCAGTGGTTTTTAAGCAGCGGTAAGGATATAATGGAGGACTTATAATTAAACAACAAAAACAAAAAGAAAACCCGCCACTCTCCCAATTTAGTGCCCTTTCATCCAAATGCAAAGAAGAACCCGAAGGACAGAGCTCTCTCTCAAGTCCGGAACTTTTGATACCCTGGCATTTGCAGCGAACGTATGAAAGATACTCGTAAGGGAATGAAAAACGCTGCTCATGTACAACAGAGTTTTCCAATTCTTTTTATACCCTATACTCAAAAAGATTATAGGGGCATATTCGATCTGTGGGGAAAATGGAGGTGTGTAACACCCAGAAGGAAGCTTTTCCGACCCCATAATGTATATATAATCTTGATCAGCATCAATAGCCGAGTCGATTGAGCCATGTCTGTCTGTCCGTCCCTATGAGCGTCTAGTGCTCAAAGACTATAAGAGCTAGAGCAACGAAATTTTGCATCCAGACTTGTGTGATATGCCCCCGCCCGATTATTTCATTACTATAAGCAAGAGGAACAGATACAGGTGGCTACGGAGCTCCGTCCACGTGCTAACTCCTTTTCTGTCTCTCACACACTCTTTGTCGTGCAATGTTAGCACCGTCTGGCGGAGGAGAGCCATACTGAACAAAGGTATCGGGTATAAATATAGAGTTTGACTGAAATTTTGTTAGAAATTTGTTTCTTTTCTCCGATTGTTTCTATGGGGGCTACGAATAGACATATCTATATATCGCCTTTAGTGTTCGAATCTTCGATTCCGACTAATATAATGCTTTATATGATTCCTCCGTTTATTAGCAGAAGAGTATGAGTAGATGTGGTCTGTGATCGCTCTCTCTCTCTCTCCTTGGGATCTCTGACTCTGTCGTTGAACTTTGCTTCCATTCGCTCTCCCCATTGAAGACTCCTTCCTTCCTCTCTCTCTCTCTCTCTCTCTTTCAAATTAAGGACTCAATCATTGACTAATCGTTCCGATTGGGAATACGAGTATACACGATGTATACCCTATACTCTCCACTGTTTTAAATGATATAAATAAGGAGGACTTTAGCCACTGCCCGAAATTTTATCCGCCTTTTGCAGATATACAAAGCATGCAAAAAAATAGAAGAAAAAACCCTCAAATAGAAAAAAACAAATACCTCCAACCCAGAAAAACCCAGCGAGAACCACAGAAAATTTAAATTCATTTGGCATTAAGCTCGCGAAGGGGAAAGATTTTTAGCAAATACTGGCCACACCCCCCGCCCACAGCGAGGACACCCACGGAGCGCACGGACCACAACCACTCCGCCACTCAACTCCTGCCCGTGCCAGCCCCCTGCCCCCTGCCGCCGTGCCGCCCTGTGGCAACCCCTCTCCAATGCTGCAGCAATGCCACGCGAAAATTTCTAAATCGTGCAAAACTTTTGCTTTGTGCGGCGTTTTTAATGCGACGCTGATTGGCCCTCGCGCCCCACCCTCCACGCCATCCGTGAGCCATTCCCTGGACGAAGGACCCTGCAAGTGCCCGCTGCATATATTGTGGCTAGTGGTGGGGGCATGGTGGGGCGTGGAAGGCGTGGCTGGTAGGCGGTTCGAAATGGACGCGCTCTGTGCTAAACTTTTGCCATCAAGTCCCTTTTGTTTCAATTAACCTTTTCATTTGAAAGTTTTTAACAATGTTTGCCGAATGTTTGGCCAACTGCTCAGCGTTCCATCCTCTATCTCTCTCCCACCGCCACGCCTCCTCTGTCTGTGGCAAGAAGGTGGAATGGTGGCTGTGTGTGTGTTAGGTGTCGCAACCCTTTTCCCGAAATTGGCAACAGTTTTGCAGTTGTTTTCCTTTTTCATCCTGCAAATATCTCAAATGGAAATCAAATTGCTTTGAATTGCTGGAAGAAAAAGTCTTGCAGGAATGCTGAACCGCCCCCCTCCCACTCAGGGCTGGAGCAACGATAAGGACGACGCTCCCCCACCCCACCGGATGCAGAAGAGAGCGGTGTCAATGGAAAGTTTTTTGTGAAAGCTTCTGAATGGTTGAAAGGATGATTGAAAGGCGAGCAGCAACGCATCCCATAGAAATCTTCAACGAATTGAGAGCACCCTTCAAGGCGGGGCAGGAAGGAATAGAAGAGAGGTATCTCAGGGGTTCCCTAGTCAATGATCTAGCACCTTGAACACACCCATTCCAATGGGGGGCAAAACAATCACTGAGACCTGCCTAAAGCTCTTTCCAGAGCCCCAACAATTTCAATTCTAGTTCTCTCTCTCCCCGGCAGCCCCGCCCCCCCGAAAAACTGTCCAAAAACTGCCTCAGGCACTTCGCAAGTGCAAATGTTTCCGAGTCTTTAATAAACATAACATTTATTTAAGGCTTAAAGGGGTTTAAACAACACCAGGAAAAGGACGAAGGCGGGTCGGGGCGGGGAGAGACAAACATCCGAGAAATGTCTTTGAGTAACGCGTTGGTTTGGCGGAACGCGTCGAAATCCTTTGTTCTGGTGTCTCTGGGGCCATGCAACGTATGGGAAAATCAAAACAGGCTAAAGGAAAAGCAGCCAAGGGAAAAAGTCAGTAGGGGAAGGAGAACCCCAAGGTTGGGGCGACAGGATTAGGGGGCGGTGGCCGGGAGACAAAAAGGGAAGCATCCGAAATGCAATTCCCGCCTGCGGGGTGTGCCACTGCCACTGCCAGTGCCAGTGCCACTTCCCGTTGCCAGTGCCCCGAAAGCTGTCTTAAGCTTGTTGAACTCTCGCTACTGCTGCTGCTCCTGCAGCTCCTGCTGCTGCTGTGTTTGTTTGCTGCTCGTCAGCTTTCCCTACCCCCTCTATCACTCTCTTAGTTTTCCCTTATGTTTGTTTCCCAGTGTGCATTTTCACTTTATCATTGTCGAGGCATCGTTTTTCACTTGGCAGCAGCAGCAACAGCAACAGCAGCAGCAGCAGCCACAGCCACAGCCAACATCGAGCACCTTTTCCACTTGGATCTGTTTGCACTTCCACCCACACACACACACACACACACACTCGCATGCACATCCTGAAATGTGTATGTATCGCTGCATGTGTGTGTGTGTGTGTGTGATCCATTTTCCGTTTGCTTTTGCTTGGGCTCTATGGCTGGCATTTCCTTGGCCTAGCCTTCCGTGCACTTTTCGCACGTATCTACACTAGTTTTCCTTTGCCCTGACCTCATCCTTCCCATCCCTTCGCCCTTCGCCCTTCTACCCCGTCTACCCTCCCCCACCCCTCTTGTGCATCCTGGCGTCGTCTTCGTTCTGTTCATCGTCGTTGCGCCATCGTGTTTTTTTTTGTTTCATTTTCTCCTTGCAGTTGCGCAAAAATGCAGGCTGGCAGCGCACTCACATTTCTTTTCTATAGCATACTTTTGCGCTGGCCGGGAAAAACGCTTGCCCGCAGGGGAGCCCTCTGACAGCCCAGGGTTGCCATGGCGCAGCAAATAAACGACTAAAGCGTCTGGTCTGTCATTCCTTTGGGGCCATCAAAAGGAGAAGCAAATCATTTCATTTGATTTGAGTTGCGTTTCGTTGAGTTCAGCGCCGCGCTGTGAGATTTTATTTAATCTACTTTTTGCAGCTTTGCCATGGCTTTGGCATCTCCCATCTGTCAAATCGTCTGGCAACCCTGGCTGCTGGCAATCCTCAAATATTGCAGTTTCGCCTTTCGACGTTTGTGTTTGTCGTCGCTTAACATTGATTAAGTTGGAAATGTGGTGGGGTATGGGTTACAACGACAGGGACAGGACAGGGCTTCTATATATATACATATGTACTCTTTTGGTCTACATTTATACATACAAATGTGTGTATGTACATATGTATGTGTTTTGTTCACCTTTGTTGGCCATTTCAGGTGTGGTTGTTATTGTTGCATGGACTGTTGCCGCCGTTGCAGCCGCTGTCGTCGTCGTCGTCGTCGTCGCCGTCGTTCTCATCAGCGTCGAGAACACATCACTGACAGCTGCTGGCCCAGATATGGATACAGATACAGATACGTTTGCGGCGGGCAGCGTCGTTGTCGTTGTCGCATCATTGACACTCTGCTGCTGCTGTTGCTGCTGCTGAGATTCAAGAAATCGCCGCTGGTGCAGGCAAGGTGTCGTCGTCGTCGTCGTCGTCGCCGTTGTTGCTGATTCGACCGTGGCTGCAGCAACTGTTGGCAGCTTCAGTGGCATATTAGGCACCTGAAAAAAGCAAAACAAAAACAAACAAATGCCTTAATTAGTATAAATTCTGTGGAACAATCGTATTAGGTGCCGCCGCCAGTACTGTGATGTCAAATCGGGAATTTAATCAAACCCGTGATTCCCCCTCCCTGCCACACACACACTCAAAACGTAAACAACGAAAGCGAGAGGGGTAAAGGGGGTCGGGGTAGGTGCGCGCCCCATTAATTTGCATTGAAAACGTGAGTCGCATTTTCTAAAAATTATTTAAGCGCCGACGAGCCCTGGGCCCCGTTTTGTTCGCCTTTAATACATTTTTCTGCAATATGTTCTTTAGTTTGCATTATTTGTAGCCAATTTTTATTGGATTTTGTAACTTTTAATCATTGCCGATGATTGAAATTGAATTAGCCCCAAATTAATTACAAATTATTTTTTAACTTTAAAAATTTTAATGTTTGGGGCGTTCATTTATGACGTGGAAATCCCCTTCTTCCTTCCCATAAATCTTGTTTACTTTTGCCTATATATTACCTATGAGTATTTCTACAAATATTCAACATTCGATTCAATAATTGGTCATAATTTTCTTTTAACAAATTCTTTTTATTAGTCACCGAACATCCTCCGAATTTGGTTATTTAAATTTTCGATAATTGTCAGAAAATTCAATTTAAACCCAAAACTAGACGTCCCCATCATTTTTTCGCTTTAATTCGATTTGGAAAAGGGTTCTTTTTTCCTGTGGAACCCTACCTATCGGATGTAATTTCAATTGAAATTTTGCACAATTTGCAGACCATTTTTATTCAATTTAGTTTTGGAAAAAGGGACTCCAATCGAAGGGTTAGTTGCGGGGCATCGGCATGGCCTGATGTGTTCTATAATTTGCAACAATTGAAATCAGATACAAATTTCACACTGAAATTTTCAACCTATTCCCAAGAGACTCGTTCTCTCCCTCTGGCAGGTATCATCCACTCTGGTATTCCCTGTAATCAGGACTCCCCTTCGATGATGTGTTTCCTGTAATTTGAATTAAATTCAATTCGATTCGAAAAGATTCTCCATCCAATGATTAGTCGTGTGCCCCTTGCTATGGCTCAAAGTGTTTTCTAATTTGCGGCACGTGAAATCTGATACCATTTGAGAGATACCCTCAGCCCTTTATTTGCGTTGCCAAAGGACGAGGGACGAGGGTTATTTTAGGGCGTTATTCCTCCGAAATTCGACCTTGGCCCCGGGGCTCAGTCGCAGTCCAATTAGTCCATTTTCGGAAGGCAGTGGAGTCCCGTGCCGCACCATTCGAGTGGAGAGTACACTCTTGTAATCCAATCAAATGCACCAGCAGATCCCTCATTATCGGGTTGAGCAGATCAAAAGACTCCCCGCCCCGCTCCCCGCTCCCCGCTGCCCACTCGCCCCCTCTAGCCCCCTCTCTTCGGCAAAGGTTGCCATGGCAGCCCCCGCATCTGCCGTAAACGCACGGAATTTATGCAAATGAATCGCCGGCAAACGGTTTCGATTTGCACGCCTCCACGTCCCCCGTTCCGTCATGGATGATGATGGACGAGGCAGCGCCAACGAAGCGACCCTTTTGGGGAATGGCCACTTTTTGCGGCACTGCGAATCAGTGGCAGCAGAGGGGAGGGAGAGGCTCTCTGGCAATTGCTTCATTGGCTGGCCAAGCGCTGGACGCTGGACGTGTCGCAACCATTTTGGGCCAACAATTTGTACCGATGCGAGCCTTTTAGGCGACGCAGTCGGGGCTTTAAGCGAGAGCAGGCATTCCGCGGACCAAAGTTGGTTATTAAACATTAAAATGTTTCACTGACTTCTTTTTTACAGCAGCACAAACGAACGGCAAGCCAAAGGAGCGACCAAGGCAATTGGAGAAGGCAATAAAATGCTCCAAGTGCCAACTGGATAAAAGCCCTGGGGCCTGGCGGAGGCTGAGGCAGCTGCCCCCAGAGGGAGATCTGCTATCTCAAGTGCTGAAATTAAATGAATCATTGGCCAGTAAGTAGAAGATAATGAAACGTGAAACTGCGAGCTGGTGCTGGAGCTGGAGCCGGCACTGTAACTGGAGAGTAATGAAATATCTCGAGGGCATCTCTCAAGGTAATCGTTTGATGGGAGCTCCAGCTCCAGCTCCAGCTCTCCCATTAGTAGTTCTCTATCTCTCTCTCTCTCTCTCTCTATCCCTGTGGAGCATCCTTTGCCGAGATTTGAGAGCCAATTAATTTATATTCATCTCTAAAGTTTATTAATTGGCCCACGCCTCAACAACGACTAGGAAATAAACCCATTAGGGCACTGATCCCCATACCACTTGCTCCCAGGCAGGAGCCAAGCAGGAGCCAAGCAGGAGCCAAGCAGGAGCCTGGAGGCAGCCTCATAAACGACTAAGCTTTTGATTCCTTGTACTCTTCAGAATCAGACTCAGAATCAGAATCAAGAGCTTTGCTTCTGTTTTGTGTTGCTTTTTGTTGTGCAGCTTCAAGTGCTGCTGTTGCCATGGCTTTGGTTGCCACTTAGTCAAAGGCAGTTGCCACACAGAAAAGCAAACATAATTTCAACTTTTGAAATGCAATAAAACCGCATCTCATCCCACACAGCCCCAGACACAGTCCTCTGTTCCCTGTGTACTCGTCCGCCAGCTCCACCGCCACCTCCACCTCGTGCCATAGGAAAAGCTAACAAATGTATGTAGAACATTTGCATTTGCCAACTGGGTCGCCATCGCCATCGCCGTCAGCCTCATCCTCATCGTTGGGGCGTGGAGCGACACGTCCCCCACCATCGGGTCGTGTCTCTGGGCTTTGTAAATTATATGAAAAAATAATATTACAAAAAAATCACAGGCAGAGAATACTATGTGTATGTACTACGCAACTGCAACTGCAACTGCAACCAAATGTTGCCATGGCACCAGGGCCCCAAGCTCTTGGGTATCTGCATCCCCCCTGGAATCGGGTGGCCATTCAATGCGAGGGCATTCAAACATAATATCCAAATTTAATTGGCATTTAATGGAAAAATAATTAAGCAAAAGCTGTGCATGTTCTCGACTGCCACTGACAGCAGCAGCAGAAGCCGCAGAAATTGCAGTGGCAGCAGCAGAATCGGTGGATCGACTAGACGATGACTACTACCGACAGGCCTCTAACAGGTGAATCAAAGAGGGATATAGTTGGACAATAGAAAGAGCTCGTACAGAATGAGCAAGCAAAAACCCCATACAGAATGCGGTAATTAGTCTCAAGGCCAAAATTGTCCTGAAATCGACTAATCGATTATCAAGCAAACAGAAATTACAAAATATCGATTAAAAAGTACATGAAAAATGCAGAATAACGATTAAAAATTGATTAGGAAGTTAATTACAGAAACAGAAAATAGATTATAAACTATAAATAATTAAATTCGATTAAAAATGTATTACAAAATTACAGGATTTCAATTATAAATTGATTAAAAAGTTCAGCAAACGATAGATCTCAAATTTAAACTTGTTTGGTTTTGGCTTTTTTGGGATATTTAAGGCATTAAAATCCGAAAGCGGTAGTTATTTGAACTGCTTGAATGAAACTCTAGCCTTTCAATTATAGTTTACTGCTTGCATTTGCACTGCTTGAGTGCACAACAACAGCTATATGCCATTTGCACTGCTTGTATGGAATATGGTAACTGCTTTTCAATTATAGTCTACTGCTTGCATTTGCACTGCTCAAGAGCACAAAACTAACTTTTATTTATACCAAAAGACCCCATTAAACGGCATATTATGATGCATTCATTATTCACTCTCCCTCATCAGAACTGTCACATTTTGTGGACCAAGCCGAGCATATCCTTTCGTGACGTGACCCTTTGGAGAACCCAGCGAAGCGTTGAAGCGACGCGTTGACACTCTCCACCAAAGCGTGCGGCTAATGAATACCAACAAAAAAAAAAACATACACATGCCATATTATACGATACACTCGTACATACATACATATGTATGTGGATATAATCGTGTTCTGTATATAATGGATAGTTGTACGAGTACACACGGATCCGTACATATTCATATTCATATTCAATGTGCTTCATAGATGTGAAACATGTATTTTGCATATTTTTGACGTATTAACTGTTTTAGCCGCGGGCATGGCCATGGATGGGGGGTGCTCTAGGGGCAAGGGGTTGTGCAAATTGTGTAACACGCAACAAAATGCCAGTGAAAATACCAACAAACATTGCACTTTTCCATGCATAATTGTGGAAATTAAAACGAACTGTGCCGCAAGACAGTGCAGTGCAGAGCAGTGCAGAGCAGTGCACCCACCACCCCACGCCCCCCTTGTGTGTGTGTCCTGTGTCCGGGGGCGGGGTGGCTGTCCAGGGGTCGTACAGTGGATGGGTGGGTTGAGGCCAGACCATAGACCAACCGACCGACCCACCGTCCGACCATATGCAAACGAGCTGGGCGGCGAGACTCCCGCTTGGCTGTGGCTCTGCGGCAGTCTCTGGTGGTTGCAATCGGGTTGCAGGTGTGAAGCGCATGCACAGGTGCATGAACGGTGTTGGTTTTCATTAACGTCATAATGCCCGACAGCTTTAATCCTTTGCCAAGACTAGGGGATGGACTGTCTCGGTCTTGCAAGTGGGAGTGGACGTGCAGCTCTCGGACACCGACATGGACATGGACACGGGCGCCCGGGCACCTCCTCCGGGCAATTGTGCGCGCACACAGGAACAACAGGAACAGCAACTCTGCGGCGCTGCCGGATATGAGTAATCGCTCAGTCACGTCGTGGCATCGGCAAGTCCTTCGCTGCACCAGGACCAGCGCACTGCAGCAAGATTTTCCCCCCCGAAAAAAAGCAAACAAGAGAGTGGGAGAGTGGGAGAGAGTCCATGTGCATGATGCAACCCACAACGGAAATCGCTCAACGTTCGCTTGGAGCGGGCGTGCAACGCTCTGGTTAATGGACGCCCGCCAGGATGGAGCTGCCTCCTTTCTACTCTCC